TGAATAGTTTTCAGGGTTTTATCGGTTTTCAGCGTTATTTTGTTATCGTTTTTATCGTTTACTCGCTTTTCCTGGGTCTTTTCACCTGTGTTATGAATAAATCTTTTTTTCGGTACCGGTACCAGTTTTATTTTGTTGTATTTATCCGCGACACCTTAAAGGCCGGTCGGGCATAAACGGTCCGTGGCGCAAAAACGGTTGGGGAGCGCTGCTCTAGAATCGATTCTCACATTAAAATATCGATATTTTAGTAATTTAGAGTAAATTTGTAGTTTATCATTAACAGCAACACAGTGGAAAGAAACTATAACATTCGGATTGTCTACATTCAAAGGAACTACTTCCTCTTCCGCCTTTCATAGTCATGAGTGAAATACGGCTGTGTAAATGTCTCGCCGCGTGCGCACTCACAACAACGGCTGAGCGTAGTCGGAGTCACGTGTGGACGTAGTTTACCTCCACAAACAGCTGAGACGTGGTTTGGATACATGTGGCAGAAAAGTGAGGTGTTGTGGGGATACGTGCTCCACGAGCGCCCTCGGTGGAGTGAAGCTGCCGTCCGCTCCTTGCTGTCTAAAATATAACCGGGCGCTGACGTAAACTCTTGTTTTATCAGCTGTGTGAAACCCCGCAGGAACCCTCCCGAGGGATTAATAAAGTTTAATTTAATCTAATAACTTTAATCTCAGCCAAACCGATTTACTCACGAACAAATAAAACACTGAAAAAGCCCAACAACATTTTTAAGTTATCAAAGTGACTTATATATCCTGTTTGACCCGAGTAGCGACAGACCGCGGGGGTTTGAAGACGACGTGTCGGCTCAGATGTTTGAAGTTCACACAGCTACATTCTGGCCTGAAAACTTGTTAAAAGTTTTTTGCGACCCAGAAAGAGAAATAAGAGTGATATTAAAACTAAGTCGCTGTTGGAGACTGGAGTTGGCTGGGCCGCGCTATGAATTCTGGGATATGGTTTTTCAATTTTGTTGTCCGGGTGGAAAATCGGGAGGGTTGGCATGTATGGTTGTGGCAACATCACTAACCTTGTCAAACACCTCAGAGTAAATCGTACCACAGAATATGACGCGCGTATGTTGAGACTGAAGAGGAGGACAGGTGCTGCTGGGGCGAGACAGAAGTCTCTCACGGAGTCCTTTAGTGCTGCAGGCAGGCAACGTGTTCAAATAGCCACAAGTGATAAGAACAAGTAATCTGATGTCCTGTAATCATTACGACGCTATAATTTGAGATACAATAAATAAAATAAGTTTTTGTAAAGAGTATCGGATCAGTATCGTCGATACCGCCCTGAATTTTACTTGGTATCGGAAAGGAAATCAGTGGTATCCACATCACTACTGAATGCGGATGACCAGCCTCATTCTGGACCGTGTTTCCGGAATGCAGTAAGCTAGGGAGCTGATTGGAGATCGTAACAGCCAATCGGCACACTTATAAATGTGTACAGAGATCTGAGCGAGGCGCTGTTACTGTGTGTATGTGGATAACAGCAAACACTGAAATTCATTTCCTGCACGCAGAAATTAATTTTCTTCGATTAAATTAAACTTTTCTTTGCTCAAAATATTTTTTTTCTCAAAATGCAACATTTGCGCTTCCACGTGCTCAGCGACACGTTTCCTTTGTTAGCTAAAGATGAAGGTCCTCCGCCAGTCCACGCATGCTCATTCACACTCACCTGTCCTGTGCAGCTTGATTTGGGGTTTCCAGGTGATATCCAGCAGTCTGCGCTGACGGTCGATCTCTTCCTCGTACTGGACGATCGTTTTTTCAAACTCCAAGAATATTTGTTCAGCAGCAGCAGTTAGTCGCTCGTTGATAAACTCTCTCAGATACTGAACTGAAGGCATCGTTGCTGCCGCAGCTCACACACTCAGCTCGGCCACACGCGAGGAAAGTGAACAATACTTCCGCCTTTCTTTGTTTACTTCCGCTGTTCCTATGTGTCCCAGCTGTTTCTCATGCCTGGATCCTGTCCTGTGATCAGCCCTCTGCCTCCGCCCTCTGTGTCGTCACGATCAGCTGGGTGGAGACTGTTGTTTACTATTGTCAGCTGTTTAATATCTGCTGATTCAGGACACAGAGTGACAGGTGTGGTTTAAAGTTCACAGAGGAACCAGGTCACTTTGACCTTTAGAGAGGAGTCTGTCTGAAAACAGGGTGGTGCTTGTCGTGTGCAGCGGTCTGTCCTGGTTTTGGTTAAAGGAGTCTGATGAGGTTTCATCTGAAAATGAAGCAAATGAAACGTAACGCAGCTTTTAAGCTTCTTAAACACAAATGTGACAAACTCCTGGATGTCATCACAGAGGGCTGATGTGGACGAACATCACCAGGTGACACGAGAACCAACAACAGCTGGAACACCTGGAACATGACTGATGCAGCCAATCAGGAACAAGAAGAGGTGAAGCCCCACCCACTCCTAAGCAGGAAGTTTTTTTTTTTAATTTTTTAAATGAACTTTATTTGTGGACAACAATATGAACATTAGTTATCCATGCATCTAAAATGTACAGTGAGCATCACAGCAGGAGAAAAAAACAAAAAGCAAAAGAAAGGTCGATGTCGGAACGGAGACAAACGGTGTGAACAACAAAGAAAATCATGATGTGCAGCTGAGATAGAGAGGAGGCCTCCTGACATCATCTGGGTAAATCTCATTTATGACTTCAAAGTTAACCTCTTTTACTTTAAGGGGAAGTGAAATATACTTTCTTCTTATCACCTTAACCTCCTTGGATTCAAATTATTTTAGAATATAAATTCTTTGAACCGGGTTAGGACCGATTTCATTTATCACAATATTTCTGATCGCCTTGTTTGTAAACCTGCTGTCACCAAAGTGAGCTCTGCAGAGCCGTCCAGGAGAAATGTGCACAGTGTCTTCTTTAATCAGTGATCTCAGGGCGACTGGGATGGCTTTGGTTAGTGTTTTGTCACTCTGAGCATCATCTTACATCAAACTTCTCACAGGACGTCTCATGTTTTAATAAAACCCTATTTTCCATAAAATGAGCTACAGCCCAAATCCCTTTGGCTCTCCACTCATCCGTGTACACAGCGTTTCTACACAGACGACATGCCTGCTGCTCCGGTGTTGTGCCAAAAACTGATTGCTCGTATTTAAACTGCTATAAGTAAGTTGTTGGGCTATAATATGTGAAACATATGTCAAATGCTTCCCTCATGGATGACACAAAGTCATCTTGAGCCACAAACAACATTCATGTAACAAGGTAGAAGCCGCAATCAGTTTTTGGCAGTGACTTTTATATAACCTTTATTTATGCAGTTAAAAAAATCTTATTAACATTAAAAATGTCTTTTGTCAGAGTAAGTTGGCCAAGAGGACCGAAGAAACGGCAGCAAATATTACAATAGTTCAGTAAAAATATTTGAAGTAGGGATAAAGAAGCGGATTGGTTATAATGCAAGTAGGGGAGACCGGGGATAGTTGTAATGCAGGTCAGTTGTAACACTTCCAATTTCTCCAATCAGGGCTAAGTTTCAAATGATGTGACTCATCCTGTGCATGCCCAACTCAGTTCTGCTATCACATGTGAAAAATCAGCACATTTTGTCAAACACAGACAATTTAACACGAAAAAAAGTAGTTTGTATGCCAAAAAGTAAGTTTTTCTACTTTATTTCAATTTCTAATAGCATTATCTGCTTTGCAGTTAAACTCATCAAACTTGAATTATGTTATTTGTATGTCTATGGGGATATATTCTGTGTAGGTCTTTAGTGCTAATGTTTTAGCCGTTGGCTGTAATGTTAGCTAGTTCATGGCTATAGGAGTCTGGGTCAGTTGTAACAGCAACAGTCTGGGTTAGTTGTAACAATAATGCAGATGTTACAACTTACCACACTATTACTTTAACTTATATTAAACAAGTTGGGGCAACGACATCAGCAGAGAGAGGTTCACTGGTCGCTTTTGTATATGTGGTTAATGCCATTGGCAACACAATTCCTCCACTGTTTGTGTTCCCACACATACATTATGCAGACCACTGTGTCAGAGATGGACCAGTAGGAAGTACTGGTAGTGGAAATAAATCAGGATGGGTGCAAGAAACAGATTTCCTCATCTTTCTGAAGCACTTTGCAAACCACACCAAGGTAAGCCATGATAAAAAGTAATGGAATTGCGATGCTGGTGAACAACTACATTTTTTCAGCTTCATTGTTATGTTCAAAATTGGTGCAAGAGTTGTAGGTTATAATGCCCACTGAGCCAATGAGGCCAAACTCAAGGAAGACCAACCAAAATTAATGAAATATTCAGTTGCAGAAAATTCCATAATTTGTCTTTTTTGGGGGGTTGGAATATGTTCAAAAGCTAGATTTCTGCATTCTGTCACACACACAGCTACATAAATGGCTCTAAGTGCATTCATGTGTTGAATAAACAAAGATTACATGTTAATGTTTTGTTAGTACCCTTATTTCATTGTGTTACATTTCACCCCAGGATATGTTACAACTAACCCAGACTATGGGGTTAATTGTAACATTTCACTCTTTGTGTTTGAGGCCATACCATGCAATGGGTAATTGTGCTGCAGAGAAAATAGCTGCACTATTTAATAGCAGAGACATGTAAATACTTTGCATTACATTTTGAATCCACTACCTTAAACGAGCTCCAATTTACAGACAGAAATGTCAAAAATGTTACAACTACCCCCGGTCTCCCCTACAATAACACAGAGTTGTAAAGATACTTGAAAAACAGATATTTTTTAATTCTATATAAAACCTCTTTGTAAACCATGTTCACCGAAGTCTGTTTACCAACATATGTAAAGATATTACACATAAAAACACACAGAAACATTGGAAATCAGTTTTTGGCACAACACCGGGAAACACTGAGTGATGAACGAAGAAATGCAAGCCTCGTGTCCTCTGACGTTGTTGCTGTTACACTCCTCACCAGCAGGCGGCGGCTTTCCGTCCACCAGGAGAGCTTCGCTGTGACACGAAGCGGAAGTGAAGAGGAAGCGGTGCCAGTGTTGTTGTGTGAGCTGAGTGTGTGAGCTGCGGCAGCAACGATGCCTTCAGTTCAGTATCTGAGAGAGTTCATCAACGAGCGACTAACTGCTGCTGCTGAACAAATATTCTTGGAGTTTGAAAAAACGATCGTCCAGTACGAGGAAGAGATCGACCGTCAGCGCAGACTGCTGGATATCACCTGGAAACCCCAAATCAAGCTGCACAGGACAGGTGAGTGTCCCTCTGAGGGAGCATCCTGATCACCGCCAGGGCCGTGCAGAGATGTCTGAGGGGCGGGTGCTCGAGGGCACATAGACCCAGGCTGAAGAACAACTACACACATTCATCAAGACTCTAACATGAATCAGATCACACTGTATCACTGTCATCAGGTGTGTTTTACCTGGTTGGTACACTGTTGGAGGGCAGGCTGTGTTGATCTGAGGACGAGACCACAGGAGAGACGCGAGCTGTCAGACACACTCTCCAGTATGCTGTAGCCACAAGTTTGCATCAGGGTGCTGATCCAGAATCCTTCCCTAATGTATTAATAGTGAAGTGATGAATGTAAAATCTATGACGAGTCAGTGTGTCTGGCAGATGGTTCAGTGTTTGAACTGTGGAGATACAATAATGTTGCTGCTGTAAAATGTTGTCGTGAATGTAAATATAATATAATCACTTTTTAATGTGTTTTCTTTAAAACACAGTGTGGGTCTAATATGTGGATATGCATATTAGATGTGTTTCCCCTGCAGCGCCACATCAGCCAGGCGGCAAAACGTGCACGCGCTCTCTGCGAGCGTGTAACCAGCGCGCTCTGCCACCGAGGGCGAGCATTGGTTAACAGTCGTCATGTGACTGATGCAAGTCAGATCCAAGGCAGAGAAAAATGCCTCCGCTGCACGTCTGTGTTTATCATCACGAGGGCTTTCCTCCGGAGGTCTTTGCACTTCAGGCTGTTTCAGTGAATGGTGCATTAAAGGTCTTTCTCTTCGTGGGAAAAAAGAACCTGGTTTGGAGACGTCAGTTCTGCCTTTTGGCTTCAGTTCGCGCTCTCCATCGTACCTGCAGCAGGTCGTCACACAGTCTGAGATGGCGTGCAGGTAGATGGGTGATGACATCAGAGTGGCGTGAGCAGGTGGTGGAGGTGCTCGTGGGTGGCTCAGGGAGGACATGTTGGCGACCTTTGACTCTCACTTTAATAAGTAAACGTGTTACAGAAAAAAGCGCTCGGCGTGTATTTATATTCACTTTCATATAAAACATGTAAAGATGTGCTGAACTCTCACACACGAGCGACGCAGTCATGCTGTAAAGTCCTGTTAATGTTTCTGTGGTTGTGACTTCTTTCTTCTGTCCTCCAGACGTCCCACAGCAGCAGGTCTGTGAGGAAGAGGAGGAGGAGGTTCTCCCTGAGCAGCAGCTCTGGAACCAGGAGAGGAGCTCCAGTGTGGACCAGGAGGAACCAGAAGCTCCACAGATTAAAGAGGAAGAGGAGGAACTGTGCAGCAGTCAGCAGGGAGAGCAGCTGGGACTGAAGGAGGAGACGGATACCTTCATGGTGACTGCTGCTGAGGAAGGAGAGCACAGTGAACCAGGAGGAGACGAGGAGCAGCTCCTCTGTCACAGCTCTGCTGGAGCCGAGAGTCAGGATCAACGAGGAAACAAGGATGGAGCGTCAGGTGAGACGTTGTGTTCTTATGAAGCGTGAGACGAGTTTGACTGAATGTGGTCGTTTCACTGTCCAGAGGCGTCCAAACTGCTGAGAAATATCTTCAGGGAAAATTAGCTGGAGAAGCAGTGATGTGTTTTCCGGGGTCAAAGGCGAGCTTTTAAAGCGAGCCGCTCCTTCACCGGTGACTGTCTGAGGTCAGTCTAATGACGGCTGCTTTCTTTTTGTGTCACTGCATGTTCTCATAAATGTTGCTGCATTACTTTGACGCTGAAAACTCTTCACAAACTCGAGTCCTCCTGGTAGATTTAGCTAGTTTTCCAGCTCCTTCAGAATGAGTGTCGTGCAGAATCTTTGTTCTCTAATCGTTTTCCCCTCTCAGCCATAAAAGGCTGGTGGGATGTTGTTGTGACCCTGCCAAGCTCCGATGTTGTTCCTGCATCTGCTGGAGCCGCTCGCCTGGCTTGAGAGTCACCGCACCCAGTGCTCCGATTCCCACTAGGACCACTGTTACCGTCACCCCCCACATTTCCCTTTCTGTGCCCCGCTCATGTATTGACCCATGTTCATCTTACCCACTATGATGCCCGACAGGAGCGTCCACGTGATGCTGAGGCAGGTTATTGGTCGGTAGTTGGAGGGGACCGGTCCCTTCTGGGGGTCCTTGAGGATCAGGACCGTCCGACCTTCGGTTAGCCATTCCGGGTGTCTCTCGTCAGCTAGCAGCTGGTTCATTTGTGCTGCCAGGCGCTCGTGGAGTGCAGTCAGCTTCTTTAGCCAGTAGGCGTGAACCAGTCAGGGACTGGTGCTGTCCAACTCTTCATACTGGAGACCCTTTCTTGGATGTCTGCCACTGTGATGGCAGATGGCTTCCTTCTCTCTGGTGTACCTCTTCAAGTGGTCTTTGCTTGGCAGTTTCCAAAGATTCTTCATTGCACCTTTCTGCAACTGCAAGGATAGAACAGCTGGGTCTAGAGATGCTTTTTGAGTAAAGGTTTAACTACAGCCAGCTTGAAGGCCTGTGGTACATAGCCGATCATTAGAGATAGGTTGATCATATTTAAGATCGAAGAATTAATTAATGGCAGGACTTCTTTGAGCAGTTTTGTAGGAATGGGGTCTAAAAGACACGTTGATGGTTTGGAGGAAGTAATTATTGAAGTTAACTCAGAAAGACCAATTGGAGAAAAAGAGTCTAAATAAGGAGAATGAGGTGAAGTTGGATTTTCAAATTGATGCTGTTGGTCCAGCTGCTAAAATCTAGTGATGCTAATCAAGAACCAGTTCCCAGTACTCCAATTCCTTGGAATCATTAGTCTGCCTACCTATTGATCCCGCTTATAGGTTCTTGCACTCTCGCTACGATCAGCTGATTAGTTTGTGTGTCGGACGAGGAAAATAGTGGCGTGGTCTCAGCGTGGACAGGAACCTTACTTTTATTTTTATAGGAAAAAAGATGAGAGCGTGATGGTAAAGGGGAGACTGCTCCATAGAGCTGGGCGATAGAACGATAACGATATGTATCGCGAT